TCAGTAAAACATCACCCTTTGCAATAGCCACAAGTGAAAGACCTGTATGAGAAGAACTTTAAGTATTTAAAGAAAGAAGTTGAAGAAGATATCAGAAAGATCTACCATACTTATGGATAGGTAGGATCAACAGAATAAAAATGACAGTCTTACCAAAAGCAATCTACAGATTCAGTGTAATCCCCATCAAAATCCTTACACAATTCTTCACAGACCTCTAAAGAGCAATACTCAACTTTATATGGAAAAAGAAAAAACCCAGTATAGCCCCCCCCAAAAAAATAAGCTGTACAATAAAGGAACTTTTGGAGATATCACCATCCCTGACTTCAATCTCTACTATAGAGCTATAGTAATAAAAACAGTTTGGTATTGGCATAAAAACTGACAATGTGGATCAATGGAATCAAGTTGAATACCCTGATGTTAATCCATACACCCATGAACACCTGATTTTTGACAAATCAAAATTATACAATGGAAAAAAAAGAAAGCATCTTCAACCCATGGTGCTGGCATAACTGGATGTTGAAATGTAGAAGAATTCGGGCTGAAGAGATGGCTCAGTGGTTAAGACCATTGCCTGCTCTTCCGAAGGTCCTGAGTTCAATTCCCGGCAACCACATAGTGGCTCACAGCCATCTGTAATGAGGTCTGGTGCAGACATACAAACAGACAGAATATTGTATACATAATAAATAAATATTTTAAAAAAGAAATGTAGAAGAATTCAAATAGGTCAATATCTATCCTCATACACAAAACTCAAGTTCAAACAGACCAAAGACCTCAACATAAATCTAATTACACTAAACTTGATAGAAGAGAAAGTGGGAAGTAGCCTTGAACAAATGGGCACAGGAGCCCAGTCCTAAATATAACACCAGTAGCACAGACACTGAGAACAATTAATAAATGGGACTTCCTGAAACTTAGAAACTTCTGTAAGGCAAAGGACATGGTCAATAAGACAGAATGGCAGCCTACAGAATGGGAAAAGATCTTCACCAACCCCACATCAGACAGAGGGCTGATCTCCAAAATATATAAAGACCTCAAGAAACTAGACATCAAAATACCAAATAATCCAATTCAAAAATGGGGTACAGATTCACAACAGAGGAATCTAAAATGGCTGAGAAGCACTTAAAGAAATGTTCAAAATCCTTAGCCATCAGGGAAATGCGATCAAAATGACTCTGAGATACCATCTTATATTTGTCAGAATGGCTAAGATCAAAAACAGCAATGACAGCTTATGCTGAAGAGGTTGTGGAGTAAGAGGAACACTCCTCTACTGCTGGTGGGAGTGCTATCTTGTATAGCCACTTTGGAAATCAGTATGGCAGTTTTCTCAGAAAACTGGTAATCGATCTTAATATCCAGCAATACCACTCTTGGACATATATCCAAAGGATGCTCACTGATACCACAAATACATTTGCTCAACTATGTTCATAGCAGCATTATTTGTAGTAGCCAAGACTTGGAAACAACCAAGATGCCCCTCGACCAAAGGATGGATGAGGAAGATTTGGTACATTTACGCAATGGCATATTACTCAGCAGTAAAAAAAAAAAAAAAAAAAAAAAAAAAAAAAACAATAACGTCTTTAAATTTGCAGGCAAATGGATGGAACTAGAAAAAAGCACTCTGAGTTAGGTAACCCAGACCAAGAAAGACAAACATGTATGTAGTCATAAGTGGATATTGGACATTAAGCACAGTATAACCAGGCTACAATACACAACCCCAGAGAGGCTAGGTAAAAAGAAGGATCCTAAGAGGATCACACGTGGAGAGCCCCAGCAAGGGAACTAGTTAAGATCTGTGTCACCTGGGAAGTAGAAGGGAGAGGATAGGGGATGGGAACATGAGGGCTCCAGATGGCCGAGGTGGGGGAGGGATGGAGAGGGGAAGCAATGAAAGAAATATCTTGATAGAGGGAGCCATTATGGGATTAGGGAGAAACCAGGTGCTAGAAAAATTCCCAGGAATCCACAAGGATGACCCCAGCTAAGACTCCTAAAAGTAATGGGGAGGTGCCTGAACTGGCCTTCCCCTATAATCAGACAACTATCCTAATTGTCATCACAGAACCTACATCCAGTAACTGGAAGCAGATGCAGTGATCCATAGCCAAGCACTGGGCCCAGCTCCTAGAGCTTAGTAGAAGAGAGGGAGGAGGGATCATATGAACAAGGGGGAATCAAGATCATGACTGGGAAAACCACAGACACAACTGACCTGAGCTAGTGGGAGCTCATGGACCCTGACACCCAGGGATTTGCATAGGATTAAACTAAGCCCTCTGAATGTGGGTGACAGTTATTTGGCTTGATTTGTTGGGGGAGGGCCCTGACAGTGGGACCAGAACTTATCCTGGTGCATGAAGTAACTTTTTGGACCTCATTCCCTGTGGAGGGATACCTTGCTCAGCCTAGATATATGGGGAAGGGGCTTGTTCCTGCCTCACCTTGGTATACCAGACTTTGTTACTCCCCAAGGGAGGCCTTACCTCCTCTGAGGAGTGGATAGAGGTGGAATAGGGGAAGGTGGGGGTGGAAGAAGTGGGGAGGTGGAACTGGGACTAGTATATATATATTTTTAAAAAAAAAATTTAAAAATGCATCTCTAGCTGGGTGGTAGTGGCACACACCTTTAATCTCAGCACTCTGGAGGCAGAGCAAGGTGGATAAGTTTTAGCACAATCAGAACTGCAGAAGGGAACTCTGTCTTGAAAAATAATAAAAGAGGAGATTGGAGGGAATAAGGAGAAGAAGAAAAGAAGAAAACACTTCTGTAAGGTTGGGCTGTAAGCAGACCTTAATTAGTAGACATTTTCTTAATTAGTGTTTGATAGGGAGGTTCTATAAGAAAGCAGGCTGAGCAAGCCACAAGGAGCAAGCCAGTAAGCATCACCCCTTCATGACCTGCATCAACTCCTGCTTCCAGGATCCTGCCCTGCTTGAGTTCTTGTCCTAATTTCCTTCAGTGATGAAGAGTGATTTGGAAGCATAAGACAAGTTAAACCCTTTCCTCCCCATGTTGGATTTGGTCATGGTGTTTCATCACAAAAGTAGAAACCCTAACTAAGAAATTGAGTGAGGAGAGTGGGCAGTGTGCCATGTGTGCTTGCATAGATCAGTTGCCGGCTTCCCAGTGAATTTCTTTCCACTTTGTGGATCCTGGGGATGGAGCTAAGGCCATCAAGTGTGGTGCCCTTATACGAGGAACAATTTTGCTGGCCTGGAAACAGAAATTCTAGCGTGTTTATTTCTAAAGTTCTGATGACATACATTAGTGTAGCCTCATTCTAGTAACAACAGCTCAGAGAGTTTTTTCTGTTGCTACATTTTGGAATTTCCCTAACTTAACCAAATACATTGTATTATTTGGAGATTTTCTTTCAACAAAATGTTCTAGGGATGACTTGCTCTTAAGAAGAACTTTGTGAGCTTTTTAGGACTAGTACTTTGCCGTTTATAATCTTGGCAGGGCTCAGCAGTTCTCTAAAATATTTCTGGTAGTCCCAAAGACAGAATTAAAAAAATATTTAATTAAAAATGAAAATTATTTTCAAACTTTCATGGATCTACTGTTGCTTTAAAGATTAAATACAGCTTTTTTAGTATAGTGTCCTAGATTTGGGGCATCTTGACTTCTGTTTGATTCTCTCCCATATCTACCCTTCTTAAACACTCAGCATTGGTTATCCTGATCTGACAGTCATGCCCCTGATATGACTACAACACTTCTGCCCCCTTGCCTGTACTAGTAGCATTCCTTGTCTTTGCCACTTGTCCGTAGGGCCCAGTGTAGTCTCGCTTTCCCACAGCTTTCCTATTCAGGTAAACCACTGCTCCTGTCTTGCATGTGCAGCCTCTGCTCCTCTTGTCTTTCATGTGCAACCTTTAGTGTCTGTCTGTTCATTTGAAACCCAGTCTCTGCTCTTTTAGTCCAAGTCTTTTCTCTCTCTCCACCTGGGTTGTAAATTCCATTAGAGTACATACATTCTCTTTTGGTTTTCTTCTTTTATTATTTTTTTCCAGACAGTATTTCTCTGTGTATCCTTGTCTGTCCTGGAACTTGCTTTGTAATTGATGTTTTACAAATTAACAGAGTAATACATAACAAGTAAAACTACACATATGCACACATGCATGCAGACACAAACCAAAACAACAACAACAAAACCAAAGCAATAAATGATTGAAATAGGGACCATAGAAGCATTTTATAGACTTTATTCTATTTAATCCTCTATAAAGTAGGTTTTAGTATTACGCCTATTTACAGATAAAAGGATTGAGGTACAAGAGAGATGGATCAATGCAGAATCAGGTACCTGCAACAATTTATTAGCAATAGAGTTTTATTGTAATACAATCACCTATTTATGGTGTCTGCATCTTCTTTTATATTGCAGAGAGAGAATTAACTGCAGAACCTAAAATATTCACTATCTGGACATCAACTATACAAGGTTGCTGACCTCTGCTCAAATCATAAATCATGGTAGTAACACAATAATGATTTGGACCTGGCTCTTGGGATGCAGAGTCTGTGCCCTTAACCTCTTCATCACACCTCCTCCCTCTTACCAGTCCACTCTCAAGCCACTCTCAAGTGGCTAGGGCCTGTAACTTTACATTCTGCAAGTATGAGGTCCTGAGTTTGATCCTAGGCGTTGTGCACACTTGTAATCCCAGCACTGGGGAGGTGGAGACAGGTGGTCCCTGGTGCTTACTGGGATTCACCTAATTAGTGAATCCCAGGACAGTAAAAGACCCTGTAACAATAACAAAAAAAAGCAAACAAACCCACACCTTAAGGGTAGCCTTTGGTGTCCACATGCATGTGTACATACATGGTTGTATAACTACATGTGTGTCCCTGCACACACAGGGGCATACACTTAGCACAGAGAGAACTTTTCTTGCTTCTTTTCATGCTTTTAAAAATTGTTTATAAAAAGAGACAGTTTGGTGGTTTAGATATGGCATATGATGGAGGAAAGTCAAAGATGAATGAAATTCGCAACCTGGTAACTGGAATAAATGATTTACTTGTCTAGGAATGAAACTGGGCAACATTCTTAGAGCAGCAGAGATAAATTGAATTTCAGGGTCTACAAAGCAGTATAGGAACAGATGTCCAGATATTAAAAGTGTAGGCAGAAAACATAAGTTGGAAATTGAAGTCTTCTACAGGCTATAACTGAAGCTGTGAGAAGACGTGAGATTATCCAAGAGAACTGTGAGTAGAGGAGAGGATTGAAAACAGACTCCTGGGGAGGACAACTGGTTAAGAAAGAAAGAAAAAAGGAAAAAAGGAAGGAGTAAAGAGAGAGAAAGAGGGAGAGAGGGAGGGAAAGAAAGAAAGAAAAAAAAGAAAGGAAGGAAGGAAGAAAGAAAAGAAAAATGGGCTGGGTGTAGTGGTGCACCCTTCAATCCCAGCCCTTGGGAGGCAGAGACAGGACCTTTGAGTTGGAGGTCAGCCTGATCTACAGAGTGAATTCTGAATTCCAGGCCAACCAGGGATACACAGGAAGACCTTATTCAAACAAACAAATGAGACTCGGGGTGGGGTGGGAGTCAGGTGTGTATGGATGGATGAGAGCTGAAATAGTTTTAGCAGGTAGAAGTTTAGCTCAGTAACAGGTTTTTGTTCAACATGGAACAAGGTTTTAGGTTTGATTCCCAGTTCTGCCAAAACAACAAAACAAAGTAGTGTTAAGGTAACTTGTGGGAGAAATACGGATACAGTGTAAAATGCTGCCAAGAAGCTACACATTGATATGGGATAGGAAGAAGCAGGGGTGAGATAGACGTACATAGTTACTTTGGAGAGAGCAGTGTAAATAAAATTCAGATTCCAGAGAAGCCTGAGGTGAGTGTAAAGTTATATAATTGTATGAGGTTATATAATTAGAGTAAAACTTCCTATTTTGCCTTAGGTCAATGGATCATTGAAATAAATTGTTTTAGTCCTGAATTATTTGAGTAATTGCCTGCCTTTCTGTTTTGCCTTGCTTGTGAGAAGATCTATTTTAACACAGTATCCAGAGCCCTGTTTTCTTTTGGATTACTTATAAATGTATCAGATTTGAAATCTTAAAAGTCTTTCCATCTGACCTGTGGCAATTGTTTGGTGGGCTGAATATAGTCATGAATACTGATTTATTTTCATCTTTGTTTTTCTTCCAGAGCACAATTTTCCCAGCCCTAATCACTAATGAACATGAGTCACTGATAATGGTGAAGAAACTTTTTGCTACTTCCATCTCATGTATAACATATTTGAGGGGCCTGTTCCCAGAGAGTTCTTATAGAGATCGCCATTTGGATGGTAAAGTGGAATTAAATGATTGTTTTGGCTAGTGTCCCTTTTCTTCTTAGCAAGAGCAAACCTTCTCTCTTCCACAGAGTGCATTAATTCTAACTCAGGGGCATGTTCTTCAGAATCAATTTACTAATTCATTTTCCACTTCAATTTTGCTGTTTGTTTTGGTTTTACTTAAAGGAGCCATTCACTTCTAGCTAGCTATCAAATGAAAAAAGAAACGCGTAGAGCTAAGTTTACTAATTCTAAGCCATCCCTATAAAAGTCAGAACAAAAATCTGTCTTAATGGTGAAGATTTACATTATTTTGTGCCTTGGTTGAATTTGTCCTTTGAGGTATGCATTTTGCCCTGAGGAAGTTCAAAGGAATCCGTTAAGAAACTTCTCCTTATTAACATATACAAATATGCGTGGGAGAGGCAAATCCATTTGTTGATTAGTATGGTTATTTAGACAGTTATTTTAATCAGTTATGTTCTTTTTAAAATAGCCAGTCCTACCTCTTCATTTTATTATTATTATTATTATTATTATTATTATTATTATTATTATTATTATTGGTGTGTGTGTATATTTCATATATAGACATATGCGACCATGGAGGTTAGAGGACCAATTTTAGTCAATCTGTCCTTTCATTGTGGTTATCCCAGGAGTGAACTCACTCCTGTGTAGCAAGCACTTTTACCCACTGAGCTATCTCACTGGCCCCAAGTTCTTCAACTCTTACTTTTTCTGTTTCTTTGTGACCTTAAATTTACCCTATTATGACTTTATATTTCAAGCTGTATCTGGCTCCTTAGAATAAATTGTACCAGAGGCTCTCCCCTGTCTCGAAAAACCAAAAAAAAAAAAAATCTTATGATTGTTTGAAAACCTGAGTTGTGGGTCGCATGTGCTGGTGTATATCTTTAATTCCAGCACTCAGGAAGAGGCAGGAAGAGCTCTGAGTTCAAGGTCAGTCTGGTTGATTACAGAATCCTAGCCCAACCAGGGCTACATAGATGACCCTGTCTTAAAAATACAAATCAAGCCAGATGTTGTGGTGCTTGCCTTTAATCCTGGCACTTGGGAGGCAGAGGTAGGTGGATCTCATGAGTTCGAGGCCAGCCTAGGCTACAAAGTGAATTCTAGGGCAGCCAGAGCTGTTTTGAGACAGAAATTTTGTCTCAAAAAACAAAACAAAACAAAACAAAAACAAACCCCAAATCAAAACAAAACAAAAAACTAGCAAAATGGCTTAGCTGGTAAAGGTGTTTACCATTAAGCCTGATAACCTGAGTTCAGTCCCCAGAACTCACACAGTGGAAGGAGAAAACCAGCTCTCCAAGTTGTCCTCTTACCTCTCCATATGCGCTGTAGCACCAACTGGTAGGCTAGAGAGATGGCTCAGTAGTTAAAAGCACTCTTCCAGAGGACCTGGTTCAATTTCCAGCATGCACATGGTACATCACAACCATCGGTAACTCTAGCTCCAGGGGATGCAACACTCTGTTCTGGCTTCCCTAGCACCAGACACACATATGGTGTGCAGACATACTTGCAGGTAAGGCACCCATACACATAAAGATAATAAAATAAAATTTTAAAAAGCATTGTTATAACAAGATTAGTCTTGTTGGCTAATCACTAAAATGGGAACTATCATTTGGGAAATAAATATAGAGAACCACACATTTCCTTTTAAGATGCTACTTTTTCAAAATTTAATTTGAAATTTCTCATGTTTATATTTAATAATATACCATGACTTCATTCCAGTGTAATTTTCTTAACAATATTGATTCACCAAATGAACACTAGTGAAATGCATGTTTGCTGTAAACACATAAGCTTGGTACTTGTAATCATGGCACCTTTCTTTGTGTTAATGACTTCTTTAAACTTATGGAATTGGATCTTACAGATCTGTTTACAGGTATCATATAATTAGCTTCCCCTCCTGTTTGGAACACAGAATTATAAAAGAAGGCATGCTTTGGAAAATTAAATACTTGTTATATATAAATTATTACTGTTGACAAAAAAAAAAAAAAGAAAAACACAGCTCTTAACCTCAAAAGTTAAAAGAGGGCCGGGCAGTGGTGGCACACGCCTTTAATCCCAGCACTCAGGAGGCAGAGGCAGGCGGATCTTTGTGAGTTCAAGGCCAGCCTGGTCTCTGAGAGCTAGTTCCAGGACAGGCTCCAAAGCTACAGAGAAACCCTGTCTTGAAAAAAACAAAAACAAAACAAAACAAAAAAAGTTAAAAGAGTTTATTCTCGAGCCAATTATGAGCGATTAAAATTTATGTTGCTGCCAAAGCCAAATTCCATGTTCTCGTATGGAAGTAGTTTCATGAAGTTCTTATGACAGAAAAAGAAAGTCACTAATCAAGGCACTTTTCAAACACTTTTATGGTAGGGGGTATAGCGAAGTGGGGGAAATCTCTGCTTATCAGCTTTAGGTGCTGTCTGCTGACAGTTTCAGCTTTTGTGTTGGTGTAAGCTAGCAAGTCTGTCAGTACATTCCCCAAAAGACTCACCTAATATACCCAAGGATGTTAGCTCATAAACATGTAGGCAATAAATGGGTATTAAGGGGACTAGTGACAGCAGAAGATATTTGTAGTTAGACTCTGGACCAGCAACATTCCAAGCTTTCCACAATCATTGAAGTTTTAACCAGTCAGCCTTGTAAAGGGCAGCTTCTTTCTAGGAGTTTTGGCTCATACTTCTGTAGGCATGGAGACAAAATCATTTTTCATAGTTTCATTTTTTATGACTTATAGTAGAAGTGAGTCTTCCTCAATGTTTTTGTATTTAAAGTGACATGTCACAAAAATGTTCATATGTAGGTGGAATTTTTCATTGGGACTGCTGGCCAGGTCCCAAATAACCACATAGAGACTTATTATTAATTATATATGATCACCCTATAGCTTAGCATTATTACTAACTAGCTCTTTCAACTTAATTTAACCCATATTTCTTATCTACACTCTACTACGTGGTGATACTTTTTTTTTTAGCACAGCATGTTTATCTTGCTTCTCTCCTCTTCCTCTAAGACTCTGCCCTCCTTCTTTCCTGCACCCTTTTGGTCTGAAAGTACTGCCTAACTTCTCTGTCTGCCTAGCTACTGGCCAGTCAGCTATTTATTAACCAATGAGAATATTACCTATTCACTGTGTACAGAAAGATTGTTCCATATTCCATGTTTGTACAACACTCTTCTTTTTAAATAATTTCTAGGCCGGGTGGTGGTGGCGCACGCCTTTAATCCCAGCACTCAGGAGGCAGAGGCAGGCGGATCTCTGTGAGTTCGAGACCAGCCTGGTCTACAGAGCTAGTTCCAGGACAGGCTCCAAAACCACAGAGAAACTCTGTCTCGCAAAAAAAAATAATAATTTCTAAGTATTTGTTAAATTAGGATAATTTTCATATCCTTCAACAATAGTGGAAGTGATGTTAACTTTAGTATAGGAAAACAATATTAAAAGATGAAAGACGGAAAGCTGGTGAGATGGCTCATCAGATATAAATGTACTTGCTGCCAAAGGTAATGATAATAAATTCAATCTCTGAGACCAACACATCATGAGAAGAGATCCCGGTAAGTTGTTTAACTGCTACACATGCAACGTGGCCCATGCTTTTGCACTTGTACATACATATACAAAAATCCATAAATTAATAAATATTTCAAAATTCAAGAAGCTCCTGTTAAATCATATATGAATCAATGATTTTATACTAATTTTAACCCGAAATTGTAATGTCTTTCTTTTCTTTCCTGTTATGGAAAAGTAGTTATATTTCACATGGAAATGTTTGAGAATAATATATACATTTGTGTTTAATTTTTTCATTGAGAGGGAAAGAAATAATAAAGAATTAAATTTGGACTATGTTTAAATTGTCAGTTGAGATTTATCTCAGTGATAGCTTAGATTACTTAGAAGGAAACAATGAAGTAATAGAAACCAACTTTGCAATAAACTCGGCTGGGCTACACTGTAGAATGGGAAGTCTGCCAAAGTGCTTCCAAAATTTGTACTGAGATAATTATTAACATAGAATTTATTTTTAAAGTAGGTATTTAGAAATTTAAAAATGTATCTGGTAGTGGTGGTAAATACCTTAATCCAAGCTTTCAGGAGGCAGAGGCAGGTGGCTCTCTGTGAGTTTGAGGCCAGCCTGGACTATAGAGTGAGTTCCAGGACAGCCAAGGCTACACAGAGAAACCATGTCTTGAAAAACAAGAGAGAGAGAGAGAGAGAGAGAGAGAGAGAGAGAGAGAGAGAAAATATGCAGGAAATGCAGTATTTGGCATGGATTTTTCAGTACAACAGTTGCATTTATATTTTTTTAGACCTCAGTTTAAAAATTCTCCGGGAAGACAAAAAGTGCCCTGGGTCATTACATATTATTAAATGGTAAGCAAATTCTGTAAAATTTGAACAACATTTTTTGTCATGGCTGAAATTACCCATAAGACTTTATTTTGTAAAATAATTTCCTTAAACCACTTTTCTTAGTCCTCTTTCCTGGAAAACGTAGCAGCTATTCAGTATTATTTTAAACTATTGATTTAGTTTTAGAAGAAAATGGACTTGTATGAAGAAAAAATTCTAAATTTGATTATTCATCATAGGTATATCTGTGTCCTAACATTGTGGTTACAGGAAGAGAAAAGACTCTGCTTCAGAACTGCTTGTCTATTTTTATAATATTCCATTAATATATGGAAAAGTATTGGGAGAATTAAAATGTGGCTAAACAGAAAAGGCAAGATGATTGTTAATTTATATACTTCAAAATAGAAGTGTAAACTAATTATATACTTGGATTTATTTTTTGGCTGTTCATGTGGTCCAAAGTGACATTGGATATTTATTTCTTAACAGGATTCAAGGTTGTTTTGATGCTTTGGAGAAGAGATACGTAAGAATGTTTTAAAATTTACATCAGGATTAAAGACTGTCTTTTAACCTTTAAAAAAGTTTACAAAGTGTTTAGACTTTGTATCTTGTAGTGTTTAACAGTGTAACAGTGCCTACCTTTGTATTCACCAGTCAACTCTCTTTTATTTTGTCTTTGTTGTCCCAGTGATGTCTCCCTTAACATCAATTAGAAACGAAAGTTCCATTCTTCTTTTTTATATACTCATATCTTTTTAACCACAAAATTTCCTCTGAAGTCACTGGACAAGATCCACAGGATGTGGGTTAGGGAAGACAACAATCTGGTAGCACATTGGATATGTTCAGAATAGTGGTAATTCAGTTTGCAGTAGGGAAAGGAAAAAATAGTTAAATAATGGGTTTTTACCCTATTTTATTTTATTCTATTCTATAACTCATGTATAACTGATTTTTTTTTAAAAACACAGCTCAAATTTTACATACATATGATCTCTCATGCTTCCCTAGACAATTAGGAAGAGCATGAAAAACGAAGGCTCTAGGCCTGGTTGAAGAGATCAGATGCATATAAATGAAACTGCTGCCTTTATGCTCCTTCACTTTTCCTGTGTCTTTACTCTTCAGCTCCAATTTAAGAACTGTTGGGGTGACTAAGCTTTTATTTAATTATTTAGTGTAGTTATACATTCCCTCTCTTGAGTGAAGTTATTATTCATGATTTATTCCATGTTGACCTAGAGGATATACAGAGATATACAAAGATAAGACAGATAAGGGAAGGGCTTATAGACTGTGACAAAAGGTGAGTAGTGCCCATGTGAGTGTTGATGGTTAGCAGTTACACACTTGCCCAGCTGTACCTGTTGTTAAACTATTGGCCAGTACTTCTGTATGAATGGGAAGTTGCTTTTTGGTGTCCTAGTGTGAATTCCTACCAACACTTTCCTCCTTGCCCCACCAGAGTTTCTTTTGAGACTTCCCAGACTTCTGTAAAGGTCACCAATTAAAGAGTCTAAAAGTTGTTCATGGAACCCAACTCGAGAGTTAAGTTTGCACCCTTTCTGATTGGTCAGTACTTTTGTCATATTGGACTTGATGTTTTCCATGTCAGTTTGATAACTTAAAAATGCAGAGAGATTTTGACATCACCTTGTCACAGTACAAGTAACAAACAGTACTACTCCTAACTGTGCATGCCAAAGGAAAGATGGAGAATCTATGCATCAGGAAAACAGAACAATAGAGGGGCTCAACCCAGCAGAGAAATTTAAGGGGAATCTTTATAAGAAAGAATCTTTGGGGATGAGTACAGGACGGCTTCACACATCCTAGTCTAGTGCTGTGCCTGCAAACTATATCTCTAGCTTAAGAAAAAATGACTATCGATCTTTGAAGCCTCTGAGCACTTGGACAAGTTGAGAATGGGTTGAGGGTCATCACAGGATTAATTAGCATCATATCCTGGATGTTCATTATCCAGAGGCATTACAATGTAAGCAGGCATTCTTGGGCTAGAGAGATAGCTCAGTGGTTAGGAGCACTTGTTGCTCTTACAGAGGACCAGAATTCAATTTCTAGCCCCCACATGGTGATTCATAACCATCCATCTAATTCCATTGGCTCTAAGAGTCACACACATGGTGTACATACATGTATGCAGACAAAATATTCATGCTCATAAAAATAAATTTAAAAATAATAATACTAAAAAAGATCAGCATTCTTATAGTCAGTCTGAGGTGAATCCTGATTTTGTTATTTATATCTTTGTGACTTTGGGCAAGCAGCCTACCACAGTATCTTATTTTTTCAACAAAAAATGTGACATAACAGAACCTACCTTGTGAAAGTTATTTTTGGAATGGAGTGATTTAGAGGCAGGCAGGATGGCTCAGCAGATAAAGGTACTTGTCACACAAGCCTGCGACCTACTGATCCTTGGAATGTATGTAAAAATGGAGAAAATTGACTCCACAAAGTTGTCCTCTGACTTTTACATTCTATGGAATGTGTACTCCAGACACTTGAATTTTACACACATATACAGAAATAATAAATGAAACTTTCAAATTAAAAAATATTGAGTGAGTTAATAATAGAAAACAGTAGTTGAACTGTTCTGGGAACATGAAAACACAAACTCTGGGGCTGGAGAGTTGGCTTAATAGTTAAGAATACTGGTTGCTCTTCCAGAGGACCAGCGTCCAGCACCCAGCTCACTAGCATCTGTAACTAGTTTCAGGGGACCTGACACCCTCTTATGGCCTTTGTGGGCACTGCATGCAATACTGCACAGATATACATGCAGACAAGAACATATACACACAAGTTAATATGTCTTAAAAAAAAGAATAGGCAAAACCTTAGATACAGTTGTGTCCAATCCACAGTCTGTGGGCCGTGTGGCTCAGGATAACTATGAATGTGGTCCAATTCAAATTTGTAAACAGTTAAAGCATCAGACAGTTGTAGTTTTTTTGTAATTCAGTTACATGGTTTTCCAGTGTGCACTTTGTAGATGACAATGTCATTTCACAGTATCAAAAGGTGGACATGCCTGATGGACTCTTAAATAGTACTGACATTATTTTTGATTGTTAGTGCTTTATAACTTTTCTCATATGATCTTATTGCAGGGAGTATATAAAATTAAGTAGTTCAGTGGGAGATTGGGGCAGAAAGATCATGACCAAGGCTATCCAGGCTATGAAACAAGACTCTGTTTCTTTAAAAATAAAAAAATGTAGTTTCAAGTTTTGATTAACTAGAGCCCTTGGAAGATGTTCTGTTGAAGACCATGATATTACTAATTATAAAACTCTGGGTACTTTTTATTTTATGGTAAATTTGAATTATTTTTTTTAAAATTTGAATTCTTTAAAATAAGCATGTGTATATTAAAATAATTCTTATAAAAAGGAATTATATAATTTTCTCCTTATTTTCACTCTCATCTTGTACAATCCCGCCCACTTTCCACACTACATTCTTTCAGAAACTGAAGTCTGATCATGTTATTATTTATGCCTAAAAATTTTCTGAGAATTTTAAAATAAAGTTTAAAGTCCTTCAAATAATCAAGAAGGCTGAATGATTCCTGTTTTCTTTTCCAAAATAGCCCCTCACTCCCATGTTTGAGCTACATAGAGACTCCAGAGCATGTCAGTTACTTTATCTTTGCAATACTGTTCCTCTTGCTTGAAAAATTCTGTCCAGACCCCATGTGTATGTCCTGCCTAACTCCAGTTTTTCCTTTTTTTCCTGCAGCTAAAATTGTCCCCATCTGGTGTTCTCCTTACACCTTGTATTGTTTCTTCACAGAAAAAAAACCCAACCATGAATATAATAGTGTATCCATGTGATTTTTTTTCTTATTGTCTCCCTTGCATGTTTCTTGATATCAGTGATCAGATTTTTAATGTATAATTAAAAAATTATTACATTTTATAATGTAATAAATGATTAATAGTTTTACTATGTGGCTATGAAAATCAGTTATATACAAAAATAGCCACATGGTGGCACTAAAGAGTTTTAGTCAATTGCTATGGAATTAATGGTCCTCAAATTTTATATTTTAGGTTTAAAAATTTATCATAGACTTGATTGTATATATGTCTATATATTTAAAAATTTGTTAAAGCTGAGAAAATGTCTTTATAGTTGTGTGGAATATAGAGAGATAAGAATTCGTAAGATATAACAGACTTTCTAATATTTTTAACTTGTTAGATTAGTTTTAAAAGTACTTTTAAGAGATTCTTGTGGTATATTTTGATCAATAATGAATTGTTTTGCATATAGTTGGTTCCCAAATTAGAAAAATAACAGCTCTTTTTGGTATCCTTCTTCTGTCCCAGTAAAGACAGTGTTTGTAATAGACATTGTTTGAATGAGTGAAATTATTAGTTCCTTTTTCTGGCCCTCTGAATATTTTCCCACCCAAGTTTTTGGAACCTCTCTGAAGTAATATTTGAATTAGTCTCCATCAGAAATGACAATACAATAGTACAACCATATAATAACGCAGTTTTCTTTTCTCTTGAAGCTTCACATGGCAGTGCTAACAGTAAGTACATACCTGAAGACTAAATCTCTGACTCTGCATTGACTTTTGGCAAGTGAAGCATTAGGACAGTAATCTTTCTCTTTCTCCCTTTTTGAGATTTATGGCATTTTAACATTTAAAAATTGAATATATCAATCAGGAGGGGTGGCACATGCCTTTAATCCCAACACTCAAGAAGCAGAGGCAGGCAGATCTCTGTGAGTTCAAAATCAGTTTGGTTTACAGAGTGAGTTCCAGAACAGCCAGAACTACACAGAAAAACCCTGTCTCAAAAAACAAAAACAAGGAAAAAAATGGATATATCAGAGCTTTAATAAGATATTATAAATATTCAGTATATTTCTTTGACATATTACATGAGAGAACATATAGAATATACCATTATTGACACAATTTCATTTTTTTAGTTATGTAACAGATTTAAAGTTTATTGTTTTGAAGTTTTTTTGGACTTTTTTTTTGAAATTTTATATACCCATGGGTATAAAATGATGGTAGAAAATTGAGATACCATTGATAATATATATTAATTATTTAACTATTTTATAGCTCAGTCATATCTGTAATTTTTCTTACGGATACTTTACATCAATTTTAAGGAACTTTCTTGAGGGATGGAGAGATGGCTCAGAGGTCAAGAGCACTGACTGTTCTTCCAGAGGTCTTGAGTTTAATTCCCAACAACCGCATGGTGGCTCACAACCATTTATAAGATCTGGTGTTCTCTTCTGCTGTGCAGGCACACATGCAGGCAAAACACTGTATAGTTTAGTAAATCTTAAAAAAGAAACTTTCTCATATTTAGTGTTCATAGATCTAAAGATTCTGTGTTCTTGCTGGGTGTGGTGGCACATGCTTTTAATTCTAGAACTTGGAGGCAAAGGTAGGCAGATCTTTGTGAATTAGAGGACAGCCAGGTCTACAGAGTTCTAGGACAGCCAGGGATACACAGAGAAACCCTGGCTTGAAAAAAACAAACAAAAGATTCTGTGTTCTTAATAAAGTAAGGGTTAATCCTATCTCTAGCTTGAAATATGCCCAGGTAGTACTCAGTTAACAGCACAAATTGAATCCTTTACATAGACGGTGTATTGAATGAGCAGTAATCTAGTAAATTTTGGAAATTAAGTACTCTATATTTTCTCTTAAACAGCTGTACACAAATCCCAAGGAACCTGAGGTAAGATGGTAATATATGTATCATATATAGGTATGTTTATCTGAGTTGAGGCTGTAGATTGTTACTAGACAACCACAGGAACAGAGCAGTTTATCGTGAACTTTATATTTTATTGTATGTGGAACTAGTCTTTTATTATGTAATTTTTTAAGAAACTGTGTAAGAGTGTTAGAAAAAAGAAAAACAACATTGATTAGAGCTGAGACTTTTCTGTAACATTTCAACATTAATATAAATGTTCAGTGACCATACTTTATCTATTTTAATTATTTCTTTTTATGATCTTTTGGAAAAATAAAAGATTCAGAATAATTCTGAGCTCTTTACCACCAGATTTCTCCTTGTTGATGTTTTGACAGACTTTGAGAACATTAGTTCGTTCGTCCTTCCTTCCTTCCTTCCTTCCTTTCTTTCTTTTTTAATTTAATTTAATTTTTTTTTAAGGCAGGGTTCCTCTGTGTAGCCCTGGTTGTCCTGGAACTTGCTCTGTAGACCAGGCTGGCCTTGAACTCACAGAGATCCACCTGCCACTGCCTCCCAAGTGCTGGTATTAAAATTGTACACCTCCTCCACACTGGGCTTGAGAGCATTAGTCTTTATTCCTATCTTTAGATTCTCCAACTTGCTTAGTGATTCCTAAACTTCGCTGGCCTGCTGGTATTCAAGTCTTTTGTGAAAGCCTCTTTGACTCACTGTAATAACTTCTATCTTTTCTAAAGTTCTTTCCCAGAAGAGCTCCATAGTTTAACCCTCTCAGTTGATTCATATATTTCCTAAGACTATTTGGAGTTCTTGAGGATAAGGGTGTTTGTTGTTTTCTACCTTTCAGAGTGCGTAGAACAGCCTTAAACACGTGTTACTGCGCCACTGTCATGACTTTTGTACCTGTGACACAGAGATGGAGCGAGAAAGCCCTTTGGCTTTTCATTCTGTTTTGTCTCTCCTAGCTTTTTTTTTTCTTTTTTTCCCCTTGCTTTGAATGTTCCTTCTCTAAGCCAGTGGATTTAGTTTAACTGGTGATATTCAAGACTAAATTGTTTTTAAGTCCTGAGTATTTTCTTTTTGCAAGATTACAAATAACCATGTAAGTAAAGGGGAAATGGCTGCACACGAGTAAGTGTGTAGCAATTCCTTAATGGCCAAACTGGTCTTAGGTTCTGCTTCCTGAATCTCTTTCCCCAATCCTCTGTTTTTAGAATTCACTGTGTAGATGAGGATCACCTTGAACTTTAGATCCTCCTGCCTCCACCAAAAGCCTTAGTTGTTTATGTGAGTGTGTTGAGATTACAAGGCACCACATGCCTGGTTTTCTCCGTCTTAGAGATGGAACCTGGTCTTTGTGTATGCTTGATAAGCCCTCTACCAGCTGAGCTCCATCCGACCCCTAATTTTTTCTCCAAGTTCTCTATGACGCAACAAAAATACTTTGAATACTTAACCAGTTATACACTATAGTAGCAATCCCTAAGTACTAGGTTTTCATGGCACACTTCTCATTACTAAAAAATGATAGAGTAGTTGAGTCTTTAAAAAAAATGGAAGCTCGGCAGTGGTGGCACACACCTTTAATCCCAGCACTTGGGAGGCATAGGCAGGCAGATCTCTGTGAGTTCAAGGCCAGCCTGGTCTCTAAGAGCTAGTTCCAGGACAGGCTCCAAAGCTACAGAGAAACCCTGTCTTGAAAAACAAAAAATAAAAAGTAAAACAAACAAAAATAAAAATAAAATAAAAAACTTCAAACACCACAGGTTAATTTAAAAACAAAACAAACCAACTCAAAACAAAGCATTTGTATTAGTTACTTTTCTGTTGACATGATAAAACACAGTCACCAAGAGAATTTAGAGAAAGTTTTTTTGGGCTTACAGTTTTTGAGAAATGAGCTCCTTTTGGCAGGGAGGAACAAGGAACAAGCATGGCAGCGGGAACAGTAAGCTGAGAGCTTACAACTTCAACCATAAACACAAAGCAGAGAGAGCAAACTGGAAGAGGCAATGAGATTATAAGCTACCAAAGTCCACCCCCAATGGTACATTTCCTCCAGCAAGGTTCCTCCTGAAGGTTCCACACATTTCTAAACAATGCCACCAACTGGGGACCAAGTGTTTAAATACCTAAGATTATAAGGGACATTTCTCATTCAAATCACTATAGCAATGATGATTACATTATCACTCCTACAATAGTTCTACAGTGTTCTTGGCTACTGCCTAACATCAAGGCACTGAGAAAATTGTGTAGCTCTCTGATCTCATTCTCATAAATACTCATGAAACAACATTTTCAGATAAACAGTCTCTGGCATTTATTGATACTGTGCCAAAAGTTTGAGTCATACCCCTGAAAGGATAACCTTCCATAAACAAAATAGCACAAAATAAAACTATTCTTATTTATTTGGAAGAAAAATAGACTTTACACATGGTGTTAAAATTAACAGCACTCCTGAGATCATAGTACAATAATAGTACAATAATTGAACCATAGATTAAATCCCAATGTGTTTAGTTGAGAAGTAACAGAAGTAGGGTAAGTGTGCACAGTTGTAGTGCATTTGTACAGAAGTAGGATAAGTGCACACAGTTGTGGTACATTTGTACAGAAGTAGGGTAAGTGTGCACACAGTTGTGGTACATTTGTACAGAAGTAGGGTAAGTGTGCACACAGTTGTGGTACATTTGTACAGAAGTAGGGTAAGTGTGCACAGTTGTACATTTGTACAGAAGTAGGGTAAGTGTGCACACAGTTGTGGTACATTTGTACAGAAGTAGGGTAAGTGTGCACACAGTTGTGGTACATTTGTACAGAAGTAGGGTAAGTGTGCACACAGTTGTGGTACATTTGTACAGAAGTAGGGTAAGTGTGCACAGTTGTGGTACATTTGTACAGAAGTAGGGTAAGTGTGCACAGTTGTGGTACATTTGCACTCACAGTTTTGTTCTGATTGCTTTCTTTAAAGAGATAACTTAAGCCAGGCAGTGGTGCACACGCCTTTAATCCCAGCACTCAGGAGGCAGAGACAGGTGAATCTCTGTGAGTTCGAGGCCAGCCTGGTCTACAAGAGCGAGTTCCATTGCAGCTAGGACTGTTAGACCGAGAAACCCTGTCTCAAAAAATGAAAACAAAATCAAAACAAAACAAAAAAGAGATAACCTGAGAAAAGTAACTAAATTAATATAAAGTGATAATGAGCTTTTTTTCTACAAGCACAGACTGAAATGTAGGAGAATATTAATAAGGCACATAAGCTAAATAAGTCTTAAATTGTTATAAATCATTAAGAACTATGTGTATGAATTTTGTGAGACTAGCAATCTTACTGTTTTATTATAGTCCTCAGAATTGAACTCAACCCTGGCTTTTTTTTAAAAACATTATTTTGAGTTTGGGTATCTGTAGTTATCCTGGTCAGCCTTAAATTGTGATTCCCTGCCTCAGCATACTGATTAGCTGGGGATGCAAGTATGTGTAATCTATACCTGGCCTAATTTGTACTTTCAAAAACTCTTGGCTGGACAACAGAGAATAAAGATCACACGGATTTGTGATCCACTTTGGAGACAGACTTGAGAAGTCTTTCCAGTGGATTTGAATGTAGAGTGAGAAGCAGCCTGAGTATGTTTGAAATTATCAAGAATTACACTTTTAAATAATTATTCTTTAAATTTGCATGCATTTGTGTCTACTTGTCTGTATGTGCATCATGTGTGTGCAGTGCCCTTAGATGCCAGAAGTGGGTGTCAGGTCTCCAGAACTCATACAGGTGCTGGGAATTGAACCCAACTTCTTTGTAAGAGTAATAAGTGTTTTTAACCAGAGCCTTCTCTCTACCCTTGCGATTAACATCTTTTGTAAAGCAGTTATATATCTCTACAGTAAAACAATCAGTTTAGGAGTCACATAATAAAAAATTACCAACTACTTAAAGGTCCATTTTATTTACAAAATACATTCTCATGGTATGAAGAGGCTAGAGTTGACTAGAAATGTGGGCAGGCAAGAAGAATAGGCATTGTTTGTTTAACAATTACACTTCCCACTGGCTAAGAGGACACTGTGTATCTAGCCCATCCAGAGGGAACCTGTTGCTTTTAGGCACCTGCAGCTATGTCTAATCTGACCCATCTCTTCTATTGTATTCACAAAACAGCCTTCTGAGCTTCCTTTGATTTTTTTCAAATAGGCTGACCAGTAAAAGCAATTCTCTTTTAAAATTAACTTATTACAATCAGTCTTTTAGGTTCAGGCAATATGAGCTAACTTCCCAGGACCTGCTCACCTGTGATTAAGTTGTATGCCAAAGTATAAGATCAGCAGATCTATGAGACCAAATCATAGAGAAAGGTAACAGGAACACTAACGCTGTTCTTGGTTACGCTAACATCCTCAATTCCACATTGTCAAGGATTTATTCTGAACCAGATGAATGAAGGTCATATTCTGTGTTCTGATTTTAACTTATACTCTATCTGCCTTTAGCATCTTCAGCTCTGTCTACAAACTATAAATTTATCTGAGTGAAACATTTATTTTTAAGCGGAAATCTTTTAAATTAATTTTTATTTTATTTATCCATGTATATGTGCTTTCACACAGCAAGAGCGGGGAGAACAGAGGACAACTTTCAGGAGTCAGTTCTTCCACTGTAGGTCCCTGGATTAAAAATTGGGTCATCAGGCTTGCACTGTAAACACTTTTTAAAAAAATTATTATGCATAGTGTTCTGCCTGCAGGTCTGCCTGCAGGCCAGAAGAGGGCACCAGATCTCATTACTGATGTCAAGAGCCACTATGTGGTTGCTGGGAATTGAACTCAGGACCTCTGGAAGAATAGCCAGTGCTCTTAACCTCTGAGCCATGTCACCAGCCTGAACCAGTTTAATAAAAAGAACTAGTTTATTTTCAATAGTATATATTTCTTATGAGGAAATTTGTTCCCTGTATTCTACCAAACCCTTAAGAGCAGATAGCAATAATAGTTTTTAGTGCAGGAAATAAGACTTGATGCCATAAGCCATAGTTCCTTTTTCCATTTTTTAAATCTTTCTTGCCATTCACTCCTTCCCTAAATTACCACAGTGACTTTCTAGCTGTTCTTATGACTTCTCTGTCTGTATTCCTTCCTTTTCCCTTTCTCCCTCCTTCCTTCCCTCCCTTCTTTCCTTTTTCCTTCTCTCCCTCCCACCCTCCCTTTCTTTTCCTTTTCTTGAGACATGGTCTCTCTATGTATCCCTGGCTGTCCTGGAACATGCTGTGTAAACCAGGCTAGCTCCAAACTCACAGAGATCTACCTTCCTTTGCCTTCCAAATGCTGGAATTAAAGGCACATGCCACCACACCTGGTCCTTTCCTGTCTGTCATAATCACTGCTCTTTTGCTTTGAAGCAACATCATGACCAAGGTAACTCTTGTAAGAAAAAAGCATTTAATTGGGGCTTGTTTACATTTGCAGAGGTTTAGTCTGCTATCATCATGGTGAGGGGCATGTCAGAATGCAAGGGGGTGCTGGAGCAGTAGTTGATAGCTACATCCTGATCTGTAGGCCAAGAGGGGGTGGTGAGATACAGACAGACACTGGGCCTGGTATCACTGGTGACACACTTCCTTCAACAAGGTCACACCTCCTAACCTTTCTGATCCTTTCAAATAATTCCACTCCCTCACTGGTGACTAAGCATTCAAACATATGAGTCTATGAGGGCCATTTTTATTCAAACCAACATACTGTCTGTATTCTTAAGGCATACAGATGATCAGGTCTTGGGATCTCTGACCTGTTTAAACCTTCAGTAGACTTTGATGATCTTAGAATAAAATTCAAAATCCTTACTGCTGCAAACAGTTTCACAACCACACCTCTTTTGGACTCTAAAAAAAATACATTCCTTCTCAATTAAGAGTTCTTGCATTACTGCTCTGTCTACCCAAGGCACTACCCCACGTGTCTGTATATGACTGACATGTCATGAGGCTCATCTCAAAATACCACATCTTCAGGCAAGTCTTCCTTGACCCCTCTGAATCTAGCACTTCTTTCTCTATTTTGTACTTCCTACCACCACTTTATATTGTTCATAACACTTATTTTATCTGAAATTATCTTTTCTTTGTTTATGAGCTAGAATCTTTGTAGATTCGGTGGGAAAGAAATCTTTTCTGCCTTGTTCACCTTCTAGCTCAAAGTAGACATTTGATGAAATATTCATTACATGACTGAATAATTCCTCAACTGGTAAAATTTAATGGAAATATTTGCTACCTAACTTAATTTTAGCTGAGAGGAGGGAGATTAAGTTATCATTTCTCCTGGATAAAGTAATGCTGTGAAACATTCGGAGGAAGCATCAATGAAATGTTCCTTTTTATCAGGTAAAAATGTGGTTTTGTTTCACAATTAACCTCTTTCTCTGTTCTCTTTGTTTTTTCTAGAAAGTAACTGAGATATACCAATTCAAATTCAAATACACAGAAAAGGGAACCACTATGGACTTTGACAGGTAGAATCTAATTGTTTAATGAACTCAAGAAATGTATAGGAGTAAAGTAAAATAAGTTTCTATATGGCCAGAGGAAAGCCTTAAATCATTTTCTCATAAGCCCTATAAACCCCACTATTATGAGTAGAAATGATAATAGTTGTTTTAACATCTGAAGTCTATAGACTAAGTGAAGTCATGCCTCTGAGGACACCTGCACTCATGTGCACATACCAACATGCAGACACGCCTACACATAACCAAAAATAACAATAAATAAATATTGAAAAACAAACAACACATAATTAAAATATATTAATAAGGCTGTCAACATGATGTTAGGAAAAGAACCTATATGACTGTCTCTGGCTATTGTTTCAGTGGCTCTGTTGGTATTAATCTGTTGGCTCTGTTGATCTTTTTCATCTTTAATGTTGGCAGATTAATTTGCCTACATATACTATCATCTGGTTATCCATACACATACCATTTTCTGTGTGCCACTCTTTGGGAAACTCATATGCACTGTGTTTCCCTATCAAGTCTTAAAATCCATGTTTTAGATCCAATAACAAGTCAAAGAGCAAAACCAAGGAAGACCCTTGTGCACATGGAATGTTTGTTAAGGAACAACATTCTTCTCTCAGAAGCTTTTGACTTCAGATCAGTCAACAGGCATGGTGAACTAAGGACTGCTGATGAAATGTAGTAGAAGTAGATGAAATAGATACTGTAAAAAGACGGGTAGAAAACTGCTTCCAATAAGGGAGATAGATACCCTGAAAGAAACAATTCTGAAGAAAAAAATTGGCAAAAATGCTACCTTTTCTCTAGTTTTCCTGGAGAGCTGAGGGTTTCTCTCCAGTACTGTTGTAGGGTTTCTATTGCTGTGAAGAGACACCATGACCATGGCAGCTCATATAAATGAAACATTTAATTGGGGTGACTCACAGTTTCAGAAGTTCAGTCCATTGTCATCATGATGGGGAACATGGTAGCATGCAGGTAGACATGGTGCTGAGTAGTAGCTGAGAGTCCTAAATCTTGATCTTGCAGGCAACAGGAAGATGACTGAGACACTGAGCAGTATCTTGAGCATAGGAAACCTCAAAGCTCACTCCCACAGCGACACACTTCCTCCAACAAGGCCACACCTCCTAATAGTGCCACTCCCTATGAGATTATGGGGGCCAATTACGTTTGAACTACCACAAATACTTCCTTAATTTTCCTCTCATATTTGAGACTTGCAGAAAGTACTCAGATATAAGAGGAAAAGTCAGTTCCAGAAAGGAGATTAAAAGTATTAGCCAGGTGGGCAGTGGTGGCGCACGCCTTTAATCCCAGCACTCGGGAGGCAGAGGCAGGCGGATCTCTGTGAGTTCGAGACCAGCCTGGTCTACAAGAGTTAATTCCAGGATAGGCTCCAAAACCACAGAGAAACCTTGTCTAGAAAAACCAAAAAATAAAATAAAATAAAAGTATCAGCCACATTTAACTAGTATTTATATACTATTTTCTTGGAGGTATTGTCTCATGTGGCTCAGGCTGACCTTGAACTTAACATGTGGCAAGGTTTGCTCTACGAAGCCCAGCTGCAAACCTTGTATTTCACACTCTCCCCCACCACAAACAGTTGCTCTTACTCTCCAAAACTTCAATATACGTATTTTTAGCAACCAGATTAACCTTTTTTGTTTGTTTTAGGGACACATGTTGAAAGGTTAACAGTAAAGCAAATAGGTAAATCTTTCTGATATTAAGGAAATGAGAAGTTAATATATAGCATATATTTCTAGAATGATTGCTTAAATGAGGGTCCTGAATATGATCTGGCCCCATGGACTATTATGTTTATATTCCTTCATTCTGACTGATTAAAAATCCTAGTAGACAAAACTTGTAGTTGTTGGAAATTGATAGAGGAGCTAAAATATCTACTTAATATATGTTTATGCTGTGATTTCTCACTTTCTCCAAAAATCAGGGAAAGACCTAACAGTTTAATTACTTGGATGATTTTTCATTGCTTAGTGCCAATATGTTCAAGGTACTGCAAATAAATTGCAGTTGTAGCTCGTCCTTGAAGGTACTTAAATGTGAGACTAATTGGGAAGAAATCGTTGGAGGGAAATGAAGATTTTTAATTAGAAGATAATTAGCCCAACTCTCACTCATTTATTAGTTCAGCAAATTTTACTAGGTAGCTAGAGACCAAGCCTAGTGGTGTGGAAATGAGTTAGCCATTCGTAGTCTATACGGGGACAAATAATTTTTCTGAGGGGAAGATGAAGAGTATAGGGAAGACTTGAAGAGATGAGATGGCACATGAGCTGGATAGGTGCAGCAGGGCATCAGCACAGTACAGCCGACGTGAATAGCATCTGCAAATACATGTGGGCGTAGCTTCAGGGGAGGGTAGAGGTGAAAATAATTAGTTGTATGTACACCATTTCTTTTATTTGATTGTGTGATGGAGGTAATAGACGAGTTTTAAGAAGGTGACATGAACAGAGACTCTCCTATTGGGAGTATTAATTTATGGAGAATGTCTTGCAGTGTAGACAAAAAGAAATAAGAATAGATGCTTTAGCAATCCATGCAAGAATGAGGAGGGGATTTCTTTAAGAGACAATCATATGGTAGATAAGTGTAGCACTAGTGACTGATTTCATGTTTGAAGAGCTGCAGAAATGTCCATAAACTTATCTCTCAAATGGGCTAACTGACCTAGAATAGGTGCAAACGATTTGACTGAGGTCATTCAGCTGGTTAACAGCGCAACTGTTACTCGATGCTAGGTCACCTAATTACAAGACCATTATTCTCTTTACTGTGAGATGTGGTTATTTGAAAGCCAAAATTTTAAAATGATCATATTTAAAATGCCTTAGGGGTGTTTATTATTCAGAAATCCTTTGCATGTACATTACAGAAAGTACTATCATTCCATTAAGTTACCTCTTAAAAATTGTCTACAAAAATATCCTCATGTTTAATTTATTAGGTGACATAGTCAATAGTTGTATTGTTTTGGAGTATATTGTAAATACTATATATGATTGAAAGTACCACTTTTCTGTGATTATAGTAGTAGTACAAGCTTCGAAAGTGGAATAAACAGTGATGATATTAAGAAGGCCTGTACCCTACTAATCCGTCAATTGTATATACTGATGCAGAACCTTGGACCCCTTCCTAATGATGTTATACTTACCATGAGACTCCATTATTATAATTCAGGTAGGTAAAGACCTTTGGTCAAATTCCTTCTTAAGTACTAAAGTGATGCTGTCTATAAGTAGAAGGATTTTATAAGCATTCGAAAGATGTTTGTATTATATGTGAAGTATTACTGTCACTTGTTCTATTGAAACTTAATTTTTTCTGCCCTTTCTGCAGTGACACCATATGATTACCAACCCCCTGGTTTTAAAGAAGGGGGTAACTCACACTTCCTGCTGTTTGATGGGGAGCCTGTGAGCCTTCGCATGGGCTCAGTCTCCTCTGGCTTTCACAGCATGAAAGTAAAAGTTACAACCGAGGCCACCAGAATGCTTGATGGGGAGAACAGTCCCACTCAGGAGAATGGCACTACCGAGATAGCCCATCAGGGTCTTGACTGTGACGAGGAAGAAGAGGACAGCAGCAACCAAGTAAGGCCAAGTTTTAGTGCTCCTTCACTGCTTCACTTAAACACAGTTGACATTTTCAGTGTGTATTCAGGTCATGTCACTGTAACAGAGTCCAGCGGAGCATGGCGTGTATGAAAACTGAAACAAAACTAGCCTCTGACGTCAAGAACTTTTTAGTAAAAAAAAAAAAAAAGTCTTCCAGAAGGAAATACATGTTTCTTATTGTCTAGCAATAAGAAAAAAATCCCAGTGTGCTTTATTTTTTTTTAAAAGGTACCTATATATTTATTTTTTTCACATTTCAAAAGTAACATTTTTAGTACTTAAAATATTTTAAGTATCTGGCAAGTTTATAGTCAATAAAAGTATACATTAACTCGATTACTGTAGTAACTGGGCACAAGAGGGTTAGGTAAGAAAATTTTACAGATTAACCTGAATCAGAGGAAAAAAAAGAATGAAACCAACTTCTATGACAAGCATTGCGGTTTGATCATTGGGGAAAGCTGAGGGGTTGGTGGGCTTGCAGCCAGTGGGGCTGATAAAGGCATTGCTTAGAGCACTTGACTTTCTTTCTGTAGAGACTTAAAGCTGAGACCTTGGCCGTTGTCTGGATAATAATGTTTGCTTTGTGCTGACATTGTAGTTAAAAAGATTCTGGAACAAAATCATTTTCAGGCTGTTTAGTGGGAAGGGATATTATAAAAATAATTCAGGAGGTATTTTGAAATTAAAATAACTTTTTGTTTTTTTTGCCTTAGAATCCTACTTTAAAAAGATGATTATAGGGACTGTAGAGATGGCTTAGGAGTTAAGAGCACTCGTCCAGAGGACCCAGCATCCACATGGCAGCTCACAACTGTCTGTAACTCCAGTTCCAGGGAATCTGACACCCTGTTCTTGCTTCTGTGACTACCAGGCATACACATGCTCAACAGACATATATGCAGGCAAAACACCAATATGAATAATAATGATAACAACAATAACAACAACAATTATTATTATTACAGAAATATTTTTGGATGACTATGCTGGGTAGCTTCTAAAAGTACCTTCCAAATATTTAATTCTGTATTGTATGTAGTATATTGAAAGGGAGGTAGTCCTGGTTTCGATTCAATAAATATGACAAATGTAACAAACAATAGGGTTTTTTGTTGTTGTTGTTTTTTCGAGACAGGATTTCTCTGTAGCTTTGGAGCCTGTCCTGGAACTTGCTTTATAGACCAAACCGCGTCTCAAAACAAACAAACAAACAAAAACACGAAAGAGAGAGAAAGAAAGGAAATTTTTTTCAAGCGACTGGAGAAATGGCTCATGGTTAAGAGCTCATACTGTTCTCACAGAAGACCTGAGTTTCATTTCCAGCACCCATGTTTGGTAGTTCAAAACCTTCCATAACTTCAAATTCAGGGGCATCTGTCACCTCTAGCCTCCATGGGCACCTGCACTCACATGTACATACCTGTCCATACATGCATATATCCTTTATATGTGTGTGAGTGTGTGTGAATGTGAATACTTTCTTTATAGGATACACATAATTAAAAATAAATAAATAAAAGAATAAATAAATTAAAAGGTTTACATAGTTACAAGGTTCTACATGCCTCCAACTGTAGGGGCAAAGGCAAGAATAAGAGAAGTTCAAACCATCCTAAACTATATAATATGTCTAAGGTCAACTTGGGCTATCTGAGACCATGTTTTAGAAAGCCAAAAGGAAAAAAAAGAGATTTTCTTTTTTGTCTCTTTTTGCCAAATAAATGTAAGCAGGACAGCCTGACAGGGGAAACTGTATTTACAAGGATCTAGATTTTGTGGTAACTTGGTTAATTCAGTTTCCTCTCTTAGTGATCTAGTTATATTAGAGAATTTAGTAGGTTATGTCCTATTGACATTTTCCTACTAAGTATTTCTATTGTTTTTCTTCCTAGAAAGTATTCACAATTATACACATATTCACACAAATACATAGAACATTTACCTTAAAACCAACAAAAGGTTTTTGAGAAAGTTCTTTCTCTATAGCTCTGATGGTTCTTTGTAATTTCACTCTCTATGAGAATGTAAATATATAGAAGTAATCAAAATCAAGTACTCTGTGATCTCTGTCTTTTGCTTGACTGTCAAAAAATGTGATTTCATTACTGTGCATATTTTTTTCATTTCCAACGGTGTGACCTACTCTCTTGTTTGTTTGTTTTTTTTTTTAAATTTTTGTTGTTATTGAGACAGAATCTTGCTATGTAGCCCTGATTGACCTGGAACTTGCACTATAGACCAGGCTGGCCTAGAACTCATGGACATCTACCTGCTTTTACCTCTCTAGTGCTGGGATTATTTGTTTTATAACACTCAGATTGGCCCTTGTTTTTGTTTATTGAAACAGAATCTGTGTTGCCTAATCTAATCTCATTTTCCTAACTTCAAATGATCCCTGGGTCTGTGGAGATATGCTTTAGCCTCTCGTGTAGTGGAACCAGAAATAGGGGTCACTAAGCCTGACTAGTATTTTACTAGTTTTTCTTCCTTCCTTCCTCTCCCCTCCCTGCCCCTTTTGTTAAGATCTCCCTCGTCTAGATATTGTAGTCTAGCTGGCCCAAAACTCTTTTTGTTGTTGTTGTTTGTTTTTTTTGTTTTGTTTTGTTTTGTTTTGTAGACAGGATTTCTCTGTAGCTTTGGAGCCCGTCCTGGAACTAGCTCTTGTAGACCAGGCTGGCCTCAAACTCACAAAGATCCACCTGTCTCTGCCTTCTGAGTGCCGAGATTAAAAAGGTGTGTACTGCTTTTATATGCACACTTCCTGGTACACATGCAGGAGTGTCTATAGGAAATATACTAGCTTAGTCACTGTTGACTATAAAGAGGCAACATGAAGTGTCTCTGTGACAAGATAGCATTTAATTGGGGGCTTGTGTGCAGTTCCAGAAGGTTAATCCATTATCATCATGACAGGGTGCATTGCAGCGTTCAGGCAGACTCTGGAACAGTGTCTGAGAGCTACATCCTGATCCATAAAGAGGAAGAGACTAAGCCTCGAATGGGCTTTTGAAAACACAAAGCCTATCCCTAGTGACACACTTCTTCCAACAAGGTCCTACCTCCTAATTGGTCTGATTGTTCTCAAATAATGCCACTCCCTGATGTATAAGCATACAATATATGAGCCTATGGGGATCATTCTTTTCAAACCACCACAGACTTGCACATTTTCAACTTTGATAAAAAGCACAAAATAGTGCTGTACCTGTATTTATTGTACCAACAGTGGAAGAGAGATCTTGTATTCTTGCAGGTACTTATTATTGCTTGAATTTATGTTTTTTGTAGTCTGCTTGACATGCTAACACTGCATGATTTTAGCATATTTCCTTATTGCTGATACTCGAGCATCTTTTCATTAGTCATCCTAGTTTTCTGGCGCATAAGAGTTATCTTTCTTCATTGATGTAAAAATGTTTGGGAGGTTAGAGTGGTAGCTCAGTGGCTAACACTGTATACTGCTCTTCCAGAGTACCTGAATTCAGTTCGCAGCACCCACGTCAGGTGGCTCACAACTGCCTGAACTCTAGCTCCAAAGGGACGCATTGTCTAGCCTTTGAGGGTACCTGTCTTCATGCGCATGTGCACATGCACACACACAGATACACATAATTAAAAGAAAAAATTCTTATAGCCATTTTTTTACTTAGTAGTGTTGTAATTATTTGTCTACATGTGTGGCTTGTCTTCTCACTGTCTTTAGAAGGCCTTTGGGAAAGAAAAGCTGTTTACTTAATGTAGACTCTTCTGATACCCTTAAGAAATCCTTCTCTATTTAAGATGATGAATAATAATCTAATATATATGCTTCTTGAAGTTTATTTTATTTATGATATGAGATAGATCAGACCTCTTGACAGTTTTAAGTCAAAGTATTATATACATGCAGAAAAATATATATCTCAGTAAATACCCACAAACTGAACAGTTGTGCTGGGAAATGGGTGAGGCAAGCAAGATGTCTAGGAAGGTAGCTATACTCACCACTATACCACCAACATAAAACATGTCCAGGGAGTTGGATGCCCTCAAGTGCCAAAAATGAGAGCCTCCTTAAATTGTGCTTCATGGATTATTGCTAGTCTCACCATGTCTTGGCACTACTGAATAATCTGATAATAACATCAGTCACATCAAAAAGTAGGGTACCTCCTGCTTAGAAAGAGTTTTAACCTCACAGTTCCTATGCTAGTTAACAAGAACATTGCCACCCTTCCTTCTGCTAGCAGATATTTTTTCATTTTATTGCTGGTGTACATTTGAATATGCTTCAACTTGGGGTCATTGGGACCAGTACTTCTGAGACTTATGGAACATGTTTTTCAGTCAGATACACACACATTTCTAGTGGAAGTCAGATTGATAGGAGTAGAACTGCTATGCCAAAGGATATGTGTGCAGTTAGCTTTGATAGGTAGTAAAAAGCAGCTTCCAAAGCGCTTTTGCCAAGTTACATTCCTTAATGTAGCTGCGGCCATGTCACATCTTCATCTCCTTTGGCTATTTCCATCACTTTTTCCAGGTATGTTTTGTATACTGAGTGTGTTTTATCTTGTTAGTGATAAGCATTCTGGTGAGTATGCAGGGTATGGTGAGTATGCAGGGTATGGTGAGGTGCAGGGTATGGTGAGGTGCAGGGTATGGTGAGGTGCAGGGTATGGTGAGGTGTAGGGTATGGTGAGGTGCAGGGTATGGTGAGGTGCAGGGTATGGTGAGGTGCAGGGTATGGTGAGGTGCAGGGTATGGTGAGGTGCAGGGTATGGTGAGTATGCAGTGGTATGGTGAGGGGCAGGGTATGGTGAGTATGCAGGGTATGGTGAGTATGCAGGGTATGGTGAGGTGCAGGGTATGGTGAGGTGCAGGGTATGGTGAGTATGCAGGGTATGGTGAGGTGCAGGGTATGGTGAGGTGCAGGGTATGGTGAGGTGCAGGGTATGGTGAGGTGCAGGGTATGGTGAGGTGCAGGTTATGGT